AGAGGGTAGAAAGTGATGTTAGTAAAAATATTCATTAAATATACGTCTTGTCATTCATTTGTTAAATGTATCGGTGAATCCAGAGAAGAGGAGTAGATGAAAATGACAGTTTTATACACTAACCTATATAAAATACTGGGAAAATTGATTTATATATTCGTACTGGAGGTAAGAAATAAACAAGTAGATGGATAAACTCTATAACTTTATTTACATTTCACACTTTAAACTTGTGTGAAATTATAATATCACCCCATGAAATGATCGTAAGTGATTGTGTCAGTTCACCTTACGCGTTTATCCTGTTAACAACAAACTGAAAAATGAGATAGCAGAGAAGAATTGGGATTTTTGCTTAGTAAGCTTTATTTAACATATAAGAAGACAAGAAACCGATATGGACTTGCTTGGATTCCTCAAGTGACATATACTGCATCCAATTGGAAGATATATGGGAGCTAAATTATAGCTTCAATCTCAATGTAATCTATCCAATGTAGAATTAATTCTCATAAAAGACGCGATTAGGCTTAGGTTATCACATTTCTAGCATGTCAGCTCTACTCTTAACAGTCACTCGTCAACATCGCTCAATTGCATGCATCCTTTTTTGGATCTCCATGGCTTCGAGCTGGATACAAGCCTTCAATAGGACAACTTTACCTTTACTGATTTAAGCATACAACTTAGCTTTTTGTCAACCCTCTGATGCAACCTTCTCTTCATTGCTATGCCAGGTGTTTGGGCAACTTTTGCCCTTCAGTGAATGATACTTCCTAAATATCTTCCGTTTAATAGTTGGTTTTCGAGACTACAATAAGATCCAAGTTAAAAGCTATATTCACCTTATTTCGCTTAAGTAGGTAAATTTTCCCAACATCAGATGATATATATCATGTTTCCTGTAAATGTTACAAAGCCTTGCTTCTTAAAAGTTATTTAATTTTTGCAGTTTTGAGCTCGCCTCGGTCAAACTATCATCAAAATGCAGTCCAGCTTGGATGAGTATATCTTTTGGAAGAAAAGCTATGTTGGAATTTAATAGAACTAGGAGGTCTATTCGTATAATTGTGGAAAAATTCAACTCCCAGCCTCTCAGCATCTGCAACGATCAGATGATACATATCATGTTTCCAATAAATGTCATAAAGCCTTGCTTCTTAAAATGTACTTAATATTTGCAGTTTTGACCTCGACTAGGTCTTGCCATCATTGAAATTGCAGTCCAGCTTGGATGAGTACAATTTTGGAATTCAATAGAACTAGGAGGTCTATTCGTATAATTGTGGAAAAATTCAACTACCAGTCAGCATCTGAAACGATATAGTGTGAATAAAGATTTCACATACTACGTCAGGCTAGATTCATTTCATTCATTTTTCCAATATTAATTTATTCGACCATCTAGCTATTCCATTCTATTATTTATTGATTTACTCTATTATTTCGTTCTTCCATACATACCTGGTTTACATGCACGTTCTCCTTGCTCTTATCCCCTCTGGTTGCGATTTCTTCATATCCCACTTGATGGTATTCTGCGTTTCCCGGCTCTTCATAATTTAGACTGTTGTTCGTGTACTCGTTCTCTTGACTGCAAGTAGCAAAGCATGCTGGCTGGCTAAACAAGTTAATTTGTTCCCGTGTTTCTTGTAGAAACTCTGCCTTCCAGGGTTGACATCCGGTCACCCTGACGTCCATATCCCATATCCCATGGGCACTGGCACTCTTCCAAGCTAAGTCGTCGATTTCATCTTTAAGCCTGGGCCATGCATCAACTGTATCCTTGCCGTCTGAACGGGCGGTCTGTCTCCGCTGAGCCTCCTTCTCCTTCTCCTCCTCAAGCCCCTCCTCGCGTTCGTCCACTCGATTCAGTCGCGATTGACTGGCATACCCTTCCGACCAGACACCGGGCGACAGAAAACCACCACCAATCGTCGGTGGTGGCGGCGTTCGTGGTTCCGACTTGCGTAGAGACCTGCTGCGGGAGCCTAGCACACTGGGATTCACATCTTGACTGTAGGTGAACATCAAAGTCTGCTCATTTTCTCTACCGAAGATGGGCGGAGCTGACAACAGTTGGGGTGGATCGTAAGCTGGAGACGAGGGAGGCGAGACGAGCATGCGAGCGGATGAAGAGCCCAAAAGGGGCGCTGTCGAT